ATGTTATTTAGGACTAAAGCTGACTTACTAACCGATTACGCCACAAAGGCACAGAGACACAGCGCTGCTCAGGCTAAATGTTAAAATGGTAAAACTGCTGGTGAACGTTAAAGCCAAACATGATCAAATCCCTTCTTATCAGTACAAACTACATGCAGGACTCAATAGAGCAAAGTAACTGTAAAGGGTAAAATGCACAGTTTCACTCTTTAATTATGGATCAACCGACGCTGATAAAATTAAGACTTATACTAAATGCTGGGCGTCACTTTGCATGCGCCTCAAAAACAGGCTTGAACTGAGACGCAAATGTTGCCACCCAACACTGGAAGATCTGTCTGTTGAGGTTTTCAATCATCCAATAAGATTGCTTTTACTTTCAAAGCAGCATCACCGCAGAAAGAAGAATCTGAGCTCTGTGAAAACATCCAAGGCTGGCAGAGGTGTACGGCAACAGAGTTCTTTAGAAGAGAACAACTGCTGAGGAAGTGGCAGGTACACATCGCCAGAAGTTTACACCAGTGCAGACAGAATAAGAACAGTAAGCGACGTCTTGCATTGGTTGTGCAACAATTTACAAGAGAAGTTCCTCAGTCTGTTTTCAGTGTATTTTTTATTTGTTTTTGACCTCTCTGGTCATCTGCTTCATGCCTTCAGGTGTAGCTCACCACCCAAGAAGTCAAGAGCGACCCCAACCTAGAGGCAGCCAAAACCTGATGAAATCTTCACCAAAAAGGTAAACACACCCATATAATCAGGGCCCCTGTGGATGTAGGGCCCCACTGCTCTGTGCAAGGGGAGCCCCAAACTCTGCAGGACGGGAGAGGGTGTCGAGGAGGAACAACACCAGCTGGCAGGTTGGAGGGGCCCCGAGGATTGATGTGCGTGTGAAACCAGCCGGGCAAAATATTGCGCAGTAGCGGGGTTATTGTGCAGCGCGTCCTCGCAGCAGATTCATGCGTCTGCGCTCCACTTTGAGAGTCTCATCTGAACATGCCGTAAATGTAGCTGCTGTCAAAACAAAGCTTTGAATGGTGGTGCCCTTTTCACTTTCATTACCTCTATGAGGGTGCTTCTATGGCGACACACACAGACTCTGTAGGATGTTAGACCGTACTCTTTCTTATATTGGCTTGTTTTGTGTTGTTATGAATTACATGAGTACATGTATTACATGTATGTCTGCTCTTCAAAAAATATATATATAAATAGGGGCTTAACTAAAAAATAATACAAATACTTTTTTTAAATTATGACAACTTCTGATTAAATTACGTTCAACCAGCAAACTACATTGAGTTTGGTCAATTAGTGTTTCCTCTGCAAGCAAAAGTACTTTCAATTAGCAGCTGTAACCATCTGAATCTGTACAGGCATAGAGGAGTGGATTTGAAGTTCTGATGAAATTATGCCATCAGATCTATTTTTGTTAAGTTGCCGCCACGTGAATTTAGTTTTAAATCAACTAATGCTGAAATCTGAGTTTAAATTGTACACAACTTTAGGTTATGTCAACACATCCCATCAAAATAATGTTTGCAACTTTAAACTATGTCAGTAAATCTATTTTTTTAATCTTGCAACCATGTGTTGAATGTAGTGGTGTTGTTCCTCCTTGAATTACTTTTCAGAGTGCAATACAACGATCCTTCTTTTCCTCATTTTTAGAACAAAGTGGGCCAAAGAACAAACACAAACACATTTCTATCCCTTAATGATCTGTAAACTACAGTACAGTTCTCTTGCAGACTGCATCAGGTCGTCCTCCAGGATTCCCCATGTACTTTGCTGCATTTATTTTATCCTCTACCTTTACAAAGCTACTTGCTGAGAAGCATCCCTGCATCATGATGCTGCCACCACCATGCTTCACAGTGGGGACGGTGTGTTTGTGATGATATGTGATGTTTGGCATCCACCAAAGACAGCGTTTAGTCTGATGGCAATAAGTGGTAATGAGGACATTAAGATTGCAAAATAACATGTATTTACAACATGTTTAATGCCATAAAGCCTTTTGCCATAGGAATAGTCCTGTAAACACAGCTGCCCCATTCACCTATATGGTGGTTGGCGATGTGGTTGATGCGCTTTTGCTGATAATAGCTGTCACACCTGAGTTTTTTGACATTATGAGAAGAAAGAAATTGAAAAGACCAGTAAATCACAAAGAGCTGCATGTATTAATCAGGGTTTTTAATGTAAAAATAGCAAAGATGTAAGTCAAGCCTATATATAACCATTAATAAAATCACTGCAAGTTGATGTTCAGCAGCAATGCACTTTATACCGCCAGGTTGGTCAGGCCAAAAAAATGCATCATATTTTATTAGTGGATCATGTTTTTAATGTCAAATTGTGAAGGATCAAAATCTGTAAACAGTTGCGGCTGGTGAGAATGTTTGGTGGGGAAGCAGTCTGCAAATGACCTTTTATTTTAAATCAGAAATTAGAACATGAGTAACATCAGGCACAACTATTTGCAGGAATGCAAGTTTTCTACCTTTGGAGGATATTTTAATCATAATCTAATTTAACATTATTAAGACTGACCAGAGCTAAATTTCAAAACCATTCATTAAACTTTCATCAATATTTACAGGATCTGTACAAACTCAAAACACATAAATAATAAAAAAACACAATTCAGGGCTCCAGACCAACTTTTTTACTGGTAGCACCAGTACGACCCACTTTCTCATTTTGTTGCACCTCCTACCTGGTCAAAGGCAAAACATCTGACTTTCTGAACATTTTCTTATTGATAGACACAACGATTTACTGAAGCTCCCTGAACGCCCCACATACACACGTGAACAAAATTGTTGGTACCCCTTGGTTAATGAAAGAAAAACCCACAATGGTCACAGAAATAACTTGAATCTGACAAAAGTAATAATAAATAAAAGTTCTATGAAAATTAAGCAATGAAAATCAGACGTTGCTTTTGAACCGTGGTTCAACAGAATTATTTAAAAAAATAAACTCATGAAACAGGCCTGGACAAAAGTGATGGTACCCTTAACTTAATATTTTGTTGCACAACCTTTTGAGGCGATCACTGCAATCAGATGATTTCTGTAACTGTCAGTGAGACTTGTGCACCTCTCAGCAGGTATTTCGGCCCACTTCTCATGAGCAGACTGCTCCAGTTGTCTCAGGTTTGAAGGGTACCAACAATTTTGTCCACATAGCAGACTGTGGTAGCTGCTGTTGGTGGCTGTGGTGCTCTGACAGGTGTGTGACCAAAAATGACTTTAAAAATAATAAACTAGGACATTTTTGTTTTTCATGAGAAGACCTAATTTTTAAGTGTAAATACCGCGGTACACCGAAGTTCTAAAAGTTCTACTTTCCACCACTGTGGTCCACACAGCAGCTTCCTGTGGCAGTTACAGCGACACTAACACAGCTTCATGATCATCATGCTCATCAGTTAACAGGACACACGGGAAAGGCCGTGTGACGCTGTCAGATATGTATTTAAAGCACAGTTGTAAGAACGTAGAAGGACAGTTTTGATATCCAACCCCAGAAGACAAAAGCAAATAAAGATTAAATTAATTGGTTTACAACAAAAGTGGACGGGTCCAGGACGTACTGAGCTGCGCCCCATGAACAAGTCCGCAGCTGCCAATCAGAGCCCAAGCCAAGGTCACATGATCACGAAAAGCTTTTCGAGCTACATACACACTCATGTGGCTGACGACCCGCATCCAGGACGTGTAGAATTAGTAAACACGCAGTGAAGACTAATTTGGAATCTGTTAATAATACAAATATTGTTAATATGAAAAAAGAACATGTACGTTATTTTTTATTTTTTTTATAATTAATTCAAATGTAATGTGTTTGAGAACTACTTTTTCTCTGGTCATTAGTAGTGGGGCGCCCCGTGTTGACCAGCCGCCATTGGCTGTAAAAAAAAAAAAAAAAAAAGTACAGTAATCCCCTCTGAAAGGTAATAGAATAGAGGCAGAGAGGAAGATAAACAATATCAACTTTCTTCCTTTTTTCTTTACACTAGAGGGGAAAGTTAGATGCATCCCTTCACCACAGGATCAGGGTTTCAGTTCAGCGGTTGTTACGTTGGTGAATTAATTCATCCTGGTCTCTCGTGCTGTCCATTCACAGTAGGCCCATGTGTGCTCGCCTTTGCACCACCATGTCCCCCTCCTTGCAGGCGGACATGGCAGAGCCTCACAGAGATGCACCGACATTATCCATTCACTGGCCAACGCAAAATTGCAAGGAGCCAAGTGCACAAGAAAGCAGCTCAGTTTTTCTTTCCTTTTTTTTTTTTTCTTCTTGTCTTTGATTTGTAAATACCTTCTGTTTCAGTGCGACAACTTCCAGGCTTGTATCTTATAACCATCAAACATTTACATGAGAAAGTTGACAAAGGCTGAAACAGCGGAGGAGGCCTCGCAACAAAGAGGCCCATTTATAGAGTACAGTCGGGGAGCGACACTGAGAGGGAGGGTAGGAGGAGAAGCTGGGAGGAGAGTTGAATTAATGAATTAAAAATGTCGCGAAACAGCGGCCGTCCGAACACTTTGGGGTTTATATAGAGAGGCATGCTGGGGGGCCCTGGAGGAGTGGACAGCGCAGGCTTCTTTAACTTCTCTCTGAGAGGACACACAGGACTCTCTCTCTTTCTGTTTCACATGCAAGAAGAAGTGCAAACTGTGCTCATCCGATTACATAATGATCCAGTAAGAGTGAGCCGGAACCGGTACTGCCAGTACCAGTGTGCTGGGAGACACCGAGCGACCGCCGGGTAGTCCTCATCCAGCCCGCTCTTTTCACTGATTTTGTGTTTTGTTTTTTTTCTGAGATTTTTTTTTTTTTTTTTAGGATGGCAGCGACATAGGAGGAAACTGCAAAAGACAACAATGTGATGCCAAAATTAGAGGTGAACATGTGTGAGCTGTCAACAAGTGCAAGACCCTGAAATTTCAAATCCCAAGACAGATATAAAACAGCAATATCTGTCTTTCACATGTGTGCTGGACAGTGAAATTGCTCATTAAGTCTGTCAAATTTCCAAGCTGTGGTCAAAGTGAAGTTCTGTTACAAGTCAACAGAAAGGTAAGAAACACTTATTGGCTCCTTATGCGTTGTTGTTAAAATAATAAATTCATGTAATATCTTTATGTTTTTTTATATTTACAAGTTCCTACAATGTTTAAACTGTTTAAAACTTGAGGTTAACATTCAAACAGGTGCTCAGACATGATGCAGACAGTTGTTTACAGCGCGGAGGGATATTAGTAATGCGTAATAATAAAGGAGATGCACAACATCTACACTGAATCGATCTCTGTAGGCCTAAATCAGTGCAGTGCAAAAGGTTCAAAAAGGTGCATGTAAATATAATCATAAAACATCAGTTCACTTGTAGCCAAAGATAATTCAGCCCCAGTTGAAAAGTTACAAACTGGGTTAAGTGTTCGGGGCATTTTCCAACGTCATGTGACAAGAAGTTGGACAAAAGTCGTGGTTGTAGCGCAGAACTCACAGCAGATTTAAAAGCACAAACCGCAGAGGAAAGAACAGGTGTGATGGAGTTTTCACCCAGAAAAAAAAACAAAAAAACATCTTGGCTCGGAAACATTCGGTCAACACAAATCTTCTCATTGAGGACTCCGCGCCACGGCAGCAGCAGACCAGTCAGATTTACAGCAGAACCATACGAGCTTTGGCTTCCACTGAGTTGGAGGAAGATGTTAAAAATCACTCCTGAGTTATTCCCCAGTAGCCAGCAGCTGCTCTCCGTTGTTTAATTCAGGTCAGTGTCGTAACTCTCCGGCCTTTAATTCTTGGCTTGAGGAAGTGCAGGTTTGGGGAAGTGTTAGATTGAGGCTCGTACAGTCTGAAGACACACTGAGACAAACGTCTGGTCGCCATGGCTACTGCTTACATTTCCTTCCTGTTGTTAAAGTCGAAATAAATAAATCAGGTTGATGTGGAATGACGGACAGCGTGGAAGCAGCCTCAGTACAGCAGAAATACACTGAATGCTGCAATTGCAGAGAATTCAATTCACGGATAATGGTTTTATATTTCGTTCAACTTTAATTCTAGTATGAGATGTTTTGCTGCAGAACTACAGATGGAGGTGCAGGACGAGCTGCGCTTAACACGCACACAACCAAGTGCAAAACAATGAATGCAGGTCTGAAAAGTGTGTGCTGGTATCTTCCTGTCTGTCATACTGACCTCCTTCTGTACCCAGATATTATGTTCCAACTGTAAAAAAAAGGTTTAATTTTAGGTTTCACGTTGATATCGACGCATTCACAGTGCTGATTAGTCACTTAGAAAACACCACAAACACTTTTTTTTCTGACCTCTTGATATCCTCGTCACGGCTTCCTCTCTCAGGCATCACAGTCTTTAATGTAAAATGCACCACAGTGACTAATCTAACAATCCCTCTATTGCCTTATTTCCCACATGCTCATAGAACTGAAGTTACATCCACTAACTACAAGATATTTCTGTTATTTTGGTGAATCTGGAGTTATTGCTGTGGTTGCAGAGGTTGCATCCTACAGTCGAAACAAGAAGGTTTACAGGGTAATGACGGGGCGTCTCCTGCACCTGAGTTCCTGCAGTGGAAATCCCCCTGTTTGCTCCATAATGAAATCGACCCCAAAGTCTGCACTTTTGTTTAGAAATGTCACACAAAATAACATTAGTAGACAAAATAATATGTTCATTCCGCTACAGGAGGGACAAATGTTTTCTGCAAATCGTTGGATAAAACATCATTACCTGCTGAAAGGAAAATATCGGTATGTCGGACACAGTCAAGCATCCAACAGCCTTGTTAACATCAGACAAGGATTCCTAAGTTTGTTCTTAAAACTTAAAGAGCATTAACGTGCTCATTCTGTAAATACGTCTCTTGCGATGTGCGTTACAAGTTTCGTGGTGCTGGACTGCGTTGAAGTTTTGACGCACAAAGCCCTGCTGAAGAAGAGGTCGTCTGAAAACTTCTCCTCTACACAGAGACGTTGGCATGAACAGCTGCTTGTTTGTACGGCATTGTGCGGTGCTCAGTTTGGCTCCAGTAAGTTTTCGGTTTTATCGCCTTGTGTTGGCTGTGCAGATGCCCTGTTGGCATGGCCTGTGTTGATGTTTATACAGTTCTTTCAGTGCGGAGCAGAGGCTGCCGTGGTGCAGACAGTGGTCACAGCCATTCAAGTTGTGTTGCATAGAGTCCTTTCAGTGCAGTGTACTGGCTGCTGGGGGGGGTTCTTTATGGCAGTGGACACTGGACAGGGGCACTGAGTGGAAGGGATTACTCTCTCCTCTGGAATACTAATGACAGTCTTTTGTCACCGATCGGTTTCCTGCACCTTCACTCCACAAACCCCTTCCTCTCTCTCCATCGCCACCCATTTCTCTCCCTTCTTCCTCTTTCACTCCCTTTGTCACCCGATGCTCAATTCTCTCTCAAACCTCCCCTCAAAACCAATTATTCCCTCTCTTACCCCGCCCCGTCGCTGCCCCCTCACAATGTCAAGCGCCGCGTACTCACACACGATCAAACACATACACACTTCAGCGCTCAGTTTTTCTCCTCTCCTTTCCCCTCGTCTAACTTGCTCCCTCTTTCACTTACTCGCTCACCCAGTCGTATTTTTCAATGGTGGCTTTTGTCCCTTTCATCTCCTCGAAAACAAAGGATTCTTGTGCGCTCAGGACAGAGGGAAGGAGAGGGCTGGAGGGCCGCACAGAGAGGAAGAGATCCTAACCTTGAGTGTTGTCATCCAGAGAGTGTAAAAAGTCACTTTGAAATCCATCAGCGTTACTCTCAGCAAGAGCAACACACTTTAAACATCTAGTTTTGGCTCTGCTAATATTGGTCAAACTCACCTGTGTTGCATTTCTAAGCACTAAAGAGACATGTAATGAATTGCTTATGGTGTCTGTAGTTGCAAACACACATTTTATATCTTAATATCATTACCACATGCTTTACTAGATTGTCATTCAGCCCCTTCTTATCTATTTACAAGTGCATTATTTTGAAATTCAAACCATATCTTACATTTTTGATACACAGCTTATTAATAGTAAAAAGCACGTTTGTGCTCTGAAGGCTTAATTTACAGACCAGTAACTGTAGACACTGAAAGGTTGTTGACATTCTACATTTTTTGTTATCATTCGCAGATTCATGAAAAGACCAGAAACTTCTGTGGTGATCCAGTTAACTGGTGCTACTTATTCCTCTGTGCTGAAAACTTCCACTGTTGTCCACAAACTAATCAAAATTTCAAACGTGGGGATCTTGTATTCATCCGCTGCAGTAAATAGTCCCTCCAACAAATACGTTTTTTATTCCAGTTTGAGCGCTGTTTTGTGAAAACGACAGTGCCCAGCTGTTAAGGCTGAGGATAAATCTTTTTTTTTTTGACAAAACAGAAGTATGAAATGACGATATGTAATGTGAGATGATCTCCCTGCGACGATATTCTCAGAGAACTATCTTTATTCTCTGCAATTTACCACTAAAGCCTTGATTATACTCTCTCGCTGACGTGCACACGGACAGCTGCAGACACCATTGATGTTGGTGTTAATATACTTCTTTCTACTTTGTTTAGAGTCTGTGTGGAGGCGTCTGTTCCATAATTGCACAGTCGATCTTTATCTACATATTCTGTCCATGCACTCTTCTACTGAGCGTGCACGTTACTGCCCATGTAGTGTTGCGCAACTTTTGGGCTGCACTTGGACATTCACATGGACTTTAGCAGACAAAATTTATGCCACAAAGATCCTACCTGTGTATAAAGTAGAACTGTTTGAACTCTCTGAGGAGCATTTTTAGCATCTTTTAACGTACTGCTGTAGTTTTGGAGCCTGCAAGAGTGTTGTTTTGATTTAATCTCACTCTTTTAATGCACTTCTATCTCAACACAGCAGACCTGTGAGGCCAAAATATCTGTGGAGGTTATTGTAGGTGTTGGTGGAGACCAAAACAGAGCCAAAACGAGAATTAATGCATTCATCAGGTGACCAGAACAGATGACTCCAAAGAAATCTTGCTGGATGTGCAAAAGTTAGCGTAGCAACTTTATAAGATCGTAGAGTCAAAGTTATCCTTTTGTTCTTTGCATTTAAGGATGCATTGAAGCCCAAGTATTGAGAAAAGTGGGTTTCCAAGTCCAATTTAGAGTCAGTGCCTTGTTTAAGGACACTCTGGAGATTTAACTTAGCAGGTTGGACAGAGGAAACCTGCACAAGCAAAGGGAAGTGATGCAGCCTTTACACAGAAAGACCCTGGACAGTGTCGGGCAAAACATGCCAACGACTGAGCCACCTCGTTGTGCTGGATGCCCAACAACAAAATAACCAGTTAATAGCACTTGACCAATTTATGTCTTCAGTTGGAACAAATAGATTATGGACTCAGATGGACACATAGAGTCTTTTTTGTGTATTTAATGGCAATAAAAAGCAAAGAATAACACCGGCCACCATGCAAGTGTAGCTGCTCCATGTTGTGTAGGGTTTTGGTTTTGCAAGCCAAGCATTCTTGTGGACAATAAATCATATTGTGTTACTCTCGAACTGTTCAATAGGTCGATATGTCCAATACACAAGTGTATGTTTACTGTATGTGTAGGCAGGAGCTGTGTAGGGTTCAGCTGGAGATGGACGAGGCCAATCACGTGCTCTTGACCCCGCCCTCCTCCCCGCTCTCCCCCTCCACATCTTAGTATTCATAGCACAGAGCTCAACACAGATCTCTATTCATGCGCTCAGTGTGAGCTCCGGCATGGTGAGAGGAGAGACAAGGGTCAGAAAGGACAGGAAAGGACAGAGCGTATCAGATCGCCTTCGTTCTCGGGCTTTTGTTTGTGTTGTTTTGTTTTTTGGGTTTTGTTATATTTGCTCCGGAAAAGCAGAGGAGGTTTGAAACAAAAGGCCTGTTTAGTAGTAACAGTGAGGGAAGAAAAGGAGAAAAAAAAACGAGGGATGTGGGGGGAAAGAGAAACTGCAGCCCAGATGAGGGGGGAAGATTGTTAAGAGTGCACAGGAGGCAAAGCATGCAGTGACAATAAGTGTCCGTGGCACCCAGGGGTGGGGAGGCGACCTCTCATTTAGCTATCACACCCACTTACACTGTTTCAGCTCAGGGTATGTGCATTATCTGGCACACGCATTCATGTAACACTTCTTGATGAATGCTTTCTGATGCTGAAATGATGACTATGATACAATACCTACCGATACTAAAATGACACCACAGCAAAAACCTGAAATAACAGGATAAAATAATGCAATGGGCAAACATGAAACTTAAAAATTCTTATTTAAATTATCAGAAAAAACAACTTCAGTGGTATTAATTAACCACTTGTGCAGGATTTCAAGTTGCTTAAAAAGTCATTCACTTGACCAGACCTCCAACTAAACCTTGTTATTAACATTATTATTTTCGAAAGAGCCCCTTTCTTGCTATTTTTTTTATTTTAACATGTAAACTGACTTAATAGAAAACTAGAAAAAGCACAGACGTCTGCTAAGGACGTGTAGAAACATCAGTCATTTGTCTACTTTGGTGCGCTCGCGTGGTGTGCAAGATAATAATCGGATTTGTGGTTGGTCAGTTTGTTATTGTAATGCTCAGTAAAGTTTTCTGTGCATCCTTGGAACTTCAGTAAAAAAAAAAAAAAAAGCAACTGGACATCACTTTTAGGTTCTTGAAGATGCTCGTCCAAGAGACTTCTGCAGTTTAAGAACCTAAACAAGATGTCCAGGGGTTTTTAATAAAGTTACAAATATTACTATGACGGCTGCAAGGTGCGCGGTGGTTAGCACCGTTGCCTCACAGCTAGAAGGTCGCCGGTTC